GGGGGCCCGCTCCGCGGCCGGGGCCCCGCCGGGCCGCGGTAACGCTCCTCTTTGTTCCCTCCGGCAGAGCACTACCGGCACCACTGGTTCCCCCTGCGGCCCTCCAAGGGCTCAGGGTACCGGTGCATTAGGATCAACCATAAGATGGACCCCCTGATAGGAAAGGCAGCGGGGATGATTGGACTGAGCCACGAGAGACTTTTCCAGCTCCTGCCCAGCGAACTGACTCTTTGGGTCGACCCCTTCGAAGTGTCCTATCGTATAGGCGAGGACGGGTCTATCTGTGTCCTTTACGAGAGTCCCCGGCCGGGCGTGAAGGCAGCCAGAGCTTTGGAGAGTAGGAGCGGCTGTAAGGAGGAGTGGAGAATTGGCAGCTCCAGCCCTTCCAAGAATTACAACATGATGACAGTTTCTAGTTAAAAAATCACTATTCCTTGTATGATGATGTATGTATCCCAGTTTCATGATGAACTTAGATGTAACTGAGATGTTGACTTTTTTTTCCCCCCCCTGCTCTATAACCATTAAAGTTACAGTAGAACTGCCAAGTTGTTTGTGGCCAAGGGCTAATGTATAAAGCAGTTCTTGAAACTGTATATCATTTTTAGGATTGTGTACTATAAATGCACTGTACAGTCAACTGATTGTTTTACACATTTTATTACAATTAGCCAAAACTTCTTTGAAAATAGTAAAGCAATACTGTATCACTTTTTATGATGGATTTTAGTCGAGATTAACACTTGCTCCAAAATTCCTCAGTTTACAGAGCATAAACTCAAAGGGAATTTGAGGGGAGGACAGCTCTAACAAGCTGCAGTTACTAAATCTTTTCTGTGACTTGTCTGCACAGCCTTTTCTCAGGGTCACTCAAGTTTGGCTTCAAGACACAAATCACAAAAATATTCCCCCACCCTCCCCTGCCTCTTTCAAACCATACATTTATTTCGGGCCTGGGTTTCATCATGTCCCATCCTTTTGAGGAAAGGAATTGGTTTATCTCTCTCTCTCTCTCTCTTTTTTTTTCTTCTGATATTACTGGAGTAGAATAATAAAAACTTGCTCAAACAGTTTTTGGCTTGTTTTTCCAAACTTTTTTTACATTGTTGTCAAAGCTTATACTACCTTTTTTACTCATCACAGACTGTATTCTTTAGAAAGGTGAAGTATGATCGTTCATCTTTAGTTAAAATCAACACAGCATCCTTAGTATCAGTAAAGCTTGATAGCAGCATGTCTAAATAGAGG